ATTAAAATTTCAGGTCTTGAAAATATCATATAAGGATAGTGATAACTTTGGCAAGAAAAGAAAAATGATGAACCTTTTCAGAGTAACAGCAATCTCAGTTTCTCTTTCAGTTTAATCCCTAACAGCCTACAGGTTCATACTTACTCCCTTTAGGTTCTTCAGCAGTTTCTTGCTCTCTAAAGTAATAATGACATAGCCAATTACGTTATGAAAACAGCATTTCATAGCTTGTCTGCTTTGGCAACCCAATTCCAAGTATTCCTGCACATGTATGTGAAATGAGTGAGATAATTAGATGTTTCTGGTTAAACACATGCAGGTGCTTGTAGGATCAGTACCTAAAATGCTTTCTGATGTTCTGAAATGTGGGGAATGCTTTTCCTAAGCTATGTAAGAAATGTTTTTAACGTCTGCATAGTCAAAATCTGTCACTCCTTTATATTTAAACAGTTGAACTTCAATGTGAAGTCTGTAGCTAAAACCAGATGCAGTTTGATTTTCAAAGATTATAGATAACCAGATAGTAAAGATACCAAATGAAGTACACTTCTGTTTGTGCATCTAATGATAATGGAGACAGGCAAATTTAGATGACCCAATTGAAAAAGTGATCATAAAATACTAAGCCAAGCTCCCATGCAAGTCTGTTACAAAGCTACATGCAGAACCAAGAGTTCCCAATATCCAGAGTGCTTTAACTATAGCACTCTTCACATCAGCAGCATTTTGAATTATTGTCCCTTAATTCAAACAGTTAACAAAAAGTACAAATGATGCAGTGTGATTGTGTTTTATGCAAGTGACAAAATCTAAGAATTACATGGGTTACACAAGAATGTGTATATTACAGTAGGGACAAAGTGGTATTTTACATAAATGAGAAAGATACTACAGCAACTGGAAGTTGTTTCGGGAACTTAAATCTAAAGCTCAAAAATACAGCAACTTAATTGTAAAATTCAGATCTGCTTGTAGGGCAAAGTGTCTGTACGCAAGAGAATTAGAAATACAGCGTTATTCTTCATAACTAGCTGTGTAAATTATTATCAGTTGCTCTATCAAATCAAATGTAAATGTTTGCAGACTATAAATATGATTTCTTCTGGTGTTAAGTAACACATGTGCTGGTACATTTGTTCAGAACTGAACAAGCAGTGAAATAACAGAGCAAAACTTGGGAAGTAATAAATGCAATCCAGTTGCCTAGGCTTTTGAAAATGCACTCAGCAGTTACTCAGAAAAATTACCTGAAGATATAAATAGCATCCACTATCATGGGCTAAAGCTATTTTGGCTCAGAAATTAAGAATCATTTGCTAAACGTGAGCAAGAATATGTGATAGTAAATGGAGCGTAACTAACTTGCTTGTGTCAGAGACTGCCACAGAGAAATTCCTCCCATGTATTATCTCTTAAGGATAAAGCTTCACCCATATCCACTTACTGGAAGATAAGAGTTCCCTTGAGAAAAGTGTGTGATGGGTGGTGACAGATTTGAAGTTTGCATGGAGAGAGAAATATGGTTTGATGATAGATGGAGCTCAGAGATGTGGTTGCCACCTGCTGAATAAAATATGTTCTCATCATAGGGTGCAGTGTGGACCCCATACAGTGCTTTCCTCTGTGATGGACAATCTTTATTTTTATTATTATTTTTGGCTCCTAACTCCACAGACCTTTAGCCCTTCAAAGCAAAAGCAGATTGAGTTCAGTCACTCACAAATACTGTTGTTGCCATAGCTATGTTCACAACTGTGAAATGTGGCAGTTTGAAAGCAGTAGTGGTGGTGGTGAGGGGGAAGGAGATACCAAATCGGTATCGGATTCATGAACAGTCCTTGGACCGTAGGTCCGATCGCCCTCCTAGGAGCAAATCGAGTTCCCAAACAGTGTAATCACCTGTAAGCTCGACTCTGGCAGTATCAGATTCATAAACAGACTGTCAACTGTAGGTCCAATTGCCTCCCCCCAAACAAGTAGTAAAGATCACAAACAGTATGATTTATTCAAATACAACATTTACAAAGCAGGTTTCGGATGTCAGTGCAGGAAATTCTCTACTACAGTGTGGGGCTTTAGCT